TAATTCGATTGTTGACTCGAGAATAAAACGGGCTCTGGTAGATAATTTTGCAAGAAAAGTTATCGATTTTAGTATTTGTTATCATAGCATATGCATTGAAGACCCACATACTCCAAATTTTTACATTGTAGTACAAACGGTGCGTCCTGTAGAGCTCTCTAAAACCGGCATTGTCTTATATAATACAATTGTTTAGTTGACGACTTTTTGTAAAAATATTGATTTTTTTCTAGGTTTTTGTTCTAAAAGTTTTAAATTTTAGTATGTCATGTCATAGTATATGCTCTCATAAATATTTTACTCAAATTTCAATCGCGTAATGCAAACGGTGCGGCCCGCAGAGCTTTCCAAAAATGATACTTTTTTGAATAATTCAATTATTTTTTTGAAGAATTTTTCAAAGAATATTGGTTTTTCTTGAGATTTTGTTCTAAAAGTTATCAAATTTAGTATTAGTGACCATAGTATATACTTTGAAGAGTAACATACTCAAATTACAACATTGTAGTACAAGTAATGCGACCTGCAGAGCTCTCTAAAAATCACACTATCTGTCCCATATATGAACCATTATTTAACATATAAGTACAATGGGCTTGAGTTTTCCGGGTACTTTGTTCAGATAATTGTAAATTTTTCAAAATTTTGTAAGTAGACTCATCAATTTTAGTATTTGTCATCATAGTATATACATTGAAGATCCACATACTCAAATTACAGCACTCTAGCTATATTCTATATAATTTTAAAAATTACTCAAACTTCAAATAATATTCTTTTGTTTTTCTCTTATAACAAATGTGTGAATGTTCATAGTGTGAGAGCTGGTGTAAAATTTGCAAGAAAACTTTTTTTTAGTATGTGCATTGAAGAGTAACATACTCAAATTACAGCATTCTACTACAAACTAATTACAAACAATGTAATTTAAAAAAAATATCAAAAAACATTTTACATATCCAAAACTGTTTTTAATACATATCTTGAAGAAAAAATGAGTGAAATTATTTAAGAGTGAAGTTAATATTTAATTATTTAAAAAGTGAGTGATAAGAATATCAAAAATATCAAAAATTTTGAAAATAGTTTAATGTGACTGTTTATAGTTTAAATTAAAAAAATAATTAACATAAAAATGGAGGAAGCACCAAATCCGGATACTTCAACACTTCAACTAAGATTTAAAGTAAGATTATCTTATTTAGATAATAATAATTATCTTAAAATAATAATTATTGTTATCTTAGAATAGTAATTATTTTATCCTAAGATTTAAATAAAAATTGTGTTATCTAAAGTTAATTATATTTTAAATGTTCTTCTAGATGGTCTGAAAGTGTTCTGAATGGTTTGAAAACGTTTCGCAATAAATGATTTTGACAATTAAGTACAGAACCCTATCGACATGTTGAAATTATAGGGCACGTCGAGACCTTTCATTTGATACCACACATGCCTATATTTGAAGTAAAACTTTCTGGCTTAAGTCTGTCTTCGGGTTCTGCAACCCATTGGTCGGCGTTTCATTATATCTCTTGTAACTTTTGAACGGTTTGTTCGATTTGAGTGAAATATTCGGTGAATTTGTACTAGAGTAGATTATTTATAACATGGTTCAACTTATTTAAAAGTCCTAACGCAATAAATGATTTTGAGAATTAAGTACAGAACCCTATCGGCTTGTTTAATTTATATGTACGATATTTGTATAGTGCTCGTCGAGACCTTTCATTTGATACCCCACATGCCTATATTTGAAGTAAAACTTTTTGACTTATATCTGTCCTCGTGCCTTGCAACTCAATGGTCGGCTTCTGTTACATCTCTTGTAACTTTTGAACGGTTTATCCGATTTGAATGAAACATGCGGTGAATTTGTACTAAATTCAAATATCTATAATATTGTCTAACGTATTAATAACCATAGAGCATTTTGATATACTTTAAATTGAATTGGAAGTCGAATAAATATTTTGTACGGAACCTTGTAGCTTTGTAGAGTTTTGAATAAGACTTTTAGATAGTGCTCGCCGAGACCTTTCATTTGATACCCAACATGCCTATATTTGAAGTAAAACTTTCAAAATTATATCTTACGAAGTTCTGCAACCCATTCGATTCGATTAGATAATAATTAATGAAGAAAGGGACTCTACTAACGGCAAAAATATTATTAAAAAAGATTTTAGGAGAAAGGACTCTACTGACGAGCAACATTATTAACAAAAAATTATGAATAGGGAAAGGGACTCTACTGGCGAGCAAAATGATTAATATTGAATAATGATTGGAAAAAAGGATTCTACTGACGAGCATGCGTAAATATAGATTTTTAGATAAAAAAGGACTCTACTGATGAGTTAACTCGATTTTAGATCTAAATATTTAGAATTTTAAAAAGGAATTCTAGTGACACATGGAATTTCAGAATGCGAAAAAGAGACTCTACTGACCAGCAAACATTAATTTTAATCTAGAATATGAAAAAGGTACTCTACTGACGAGCAAATATTAATTTTAATCTAGAGTATGAAAAAGGACTATGCTTATCATCAAACTTTAATTTTGATCTAGAATATTAAAAAAGGAACTGCACTCTCGTCAGTAAAGTTCTTCAAGCATTCAAATTTTAATTTTGATCAAGAAGATGGAAAAGTGACTATACTGACGAGCAAAAAAAAGAATTCTATTGACGAACAAAAATATTAATAAAAAATATTTAAGGAAAAAGGACTCTACTGACGAGCGAAATTATAAATAATAAATGATTATCGGAAAAAGGGGACTCTACCGACGAGCAAAATTATTACTTATGAATGATAATTCAAAAAGGGACTCTACTGATGAGCAATCTAAACAAAAACATCAATAAACAATGTTTCAATGAAGGACTCTACTGACGACTAAAATTAAATTTCAATTTAGAAGATTATAGAAAAGGATTTTACTGACGACTAAAATAAAATTAAAAACTAGAACATTGAAATGTGACTCTACTGAGAAAGTGAGATAAATATAATAGCAAACTGAAACAATGTAAAAAGAAATTCTACTGACGAACAAATTAAATATAGATTTATAAAATTGAAGAAAATTATCTACTGACGAGCAAAACTACATATAGATAGAGGTTATAAAATAAAAAAAAAAATTAGTTAAAGGGACTCTACTGACTAGCAAACTTTAGGCTTGATCTAGAAAATATAAAAAGGACTCTACTGACAAGCAAACTTAATTTTTATCTGCAATATATAAAAGGACTCTACTGACGAGCAGGTTGATTATAATTAAAGTTTGCTCGCAAGTAGTCTCTTTTTTAACTTATTAATATATAAATATGAATATCTTGTACTTCAAGTATGATTTTTGGATAGTACTCGTCGAGACCTTTCATTTGATATCCCGCATGCCTATATTTGAATGAAAACTTTTTGACTCATGTATGTCCTCGTATTATGCAACCCATTGGTCGGCATTTTATTAAATCTCTTGTAACTTTTGAATGGTGTGTCCGATTTGAACGAAATATTCGGTGAATTTGTACTATATTTAAATATCTATATTATTGTCAAACGTATTAATAACCATAGAGCAATTTGTTATACTTTAAATTGTTTTGGAAGTTGAATAAGTGTTTTGATCGGAACCCTGTAGCTTTGTAAAGTTTTTGAATGAGATTTTTAGATAGTGCTCGTCGAGACATTTCATTTGATACCCCACATGCCTATATTTGAAGTGAAACTTTCAAACTTATATCTTAAACGAATTTTTGCAACCCATTCGATTCGATTAGATAATAATGATTGGAGAAACTCTACTAACGACAAAAATATTATTGAAAAAGATTTTAGAAGAAAAGACTCTACTGACGAGCAAACTTAATTTTGATCTGCAATATAAAAAAGGAGCAGGTTGATCATAATAAAAGTTTGCTCGCAAGTAGAGTCTCTTTTTTAACTTATTAATATATAAATATAAATATCTTGTGCTTTAAGTATGATTTTTAAATAGAGCTCATCGAGACCTTTCATTTGATACCCCACATGCCTATATTTGAAGTAAAACTTCTTAACTTATATCTGTCCTCGTTCTATGCAACTCAATGGTCGGCTTCTGTTACATCTCTTGTAACTTTTGAACGGTTTGACCGATTTGAATGCAACATTCTGCAAAGTTGTGTTAAATTACATGAGCTATAATATAGACTTATATTGTAAGTCCTACAACAATTTAGTATACTTGTGCCAAGAACTATATTAGTTTGTTGAGAATGTTACTATGATATTTGAATAGTGCTCGTCGAGACCTTTCATTTGATACCCTACATGCCTATATTTGAAGTAAAACTTTTTGAGTTATGTATGTCCTCGTGCTATGCAACCCAATGGTCGGTTTCTGTTACATCTCTTGTAACTTTTGAACGGATTGCCCTATTTGAATGAAACATTCAAATATATTTTAAAGTTTTAATCCATTTTTGGCAACTCATTGGTTCACCTTTTATTGTATCAAGTAGAATCTTTTTTCTTTTCATATAAATGCACGTATATATATTTAAATATATAATCCTTTTCTGCTGGGAATATTTATTTCGAGTATTTTAAATCCGACATTGAAATATCATCCAAGCCCACAAAGGACATTACTCATGTCGGATTGAGGAATAAATCACACACGAAATACAGATGTATATATATATATATATATATATATATATATATATATATATTTGGAGAAACTAGCCAAAACCTGAGTAAACGCCTTCATAAACATAAAAACAACTCAAAAAATCCGAAGCAATTTGAGACGATGTTAACTGAACATATTAAAAATATAAACCATAATATATATATATATATATATATATATATATATATATAAAATAACTGAAAAATTGAGGAAAATGGGAACTCTACTGACACGAAAATTTGACAGAAAAAAGGGATAAAACGAGTTTTAATTTGTAATAATTTTTATAATTATTTTTTTTTCTATTTCAGAATGTTTTAAGAGAACTGGAACAGAAGAAACCGCAATTAGACGAATTGGTGCACACGGCAGAAAATTTGAAGGCGGACAGCAACAGGCAGCAGCTGCATGGAAAAGGTAAGCGAGTCTCAAGAAGTTTCACTTCAATTTTTATTGATCAGTAGGAAATCATATGTATTCGTAATTAATGAAACTATATGCACAGTCATAAATTACATGACCTAAAGCCAATATATCATTGTAAAATATTAGAGGCCTACGAAAAGTAGTTTACTAGTAGTTACTAATGACTTGTTTGCAAGTGCAACTTGCCTTAAGGCAAAATGACATTTATGACACATGAACATTGCATTTAAATAGTAAATTGCAATCAATTTAATAAAAGGGACTTTACTGACGAGCAAATTAAAATTTCTACTTTACAACTCTACTGACGGAAAAATTTAGTATTTGTCTAGAAAATAAAAGAACTCTACAATCGAACAAATGAGAAGAAGATACAAAATGGACTCTACTGACGAGTGTAATAAAGAGCGTCATACGCTATTTCTCAACTAACGAACTCTACTGACTAACAAAATAAAATTCAATTTAACTTTGTCTTTGACGTATAATGTAAATGTAATGAGAAGAAAAAAGAACTCTACTGACGATCAAACTAAATTTTGATCTTAAATATTAAAAGGGACTCTACTGACGAGCAAGATTAAAGTATGTAATGTAAATCAAATATAAAAAATGATAATGTAAAAAGAATTCTATTGCAAATGAAAATTCATGTTAAAAGGGGCTCTACTAACGAGCAAAGCTAAATTCATGATAAAAGGGACTCTACTAACGAGCAAACTAAAATTAGAGGAACAAGAGACTCTGCTGACTATGAAATTAGAATGTTTAGAGCAAATGTGCTATTAAGGTATAATTATACAAGGGACTCTTCTGACGAGCAAAATATAATAACAGTAATGCACATAATATAAATAATATAATTAGGTAAAAAAAATCTACTGGCGAGCTAACTAAGATTAATCGCTAAAGGGGCTCTACTGACGAGCAAATTCAAAAATTAACACCAGAAAATTAAAAAAAATGATAAAAACTCTACTGATGAGAAAATTTAAAAGATAAAAAAAGAACTCTACTGACGAGCAAATTAAGAAAAATAAAAAAGGATTTCTACTGACGAGCAATTTAAAAAAAATGACAAAGGGACTCTACTGACGAGCAAATTAAAAAAATTATAAAAACTCTACTGACGAGCAAATTTAAAAAAAAATTACAAAGGGACTCTACTGATGAGCAAATTAAAAAAAAAAAAAAACTGTGGTGATGAGAAAATTTAAAAGATACAAAATGGACTCTACTCACGAGCAAATTAAAATTAATGAAAAAGGGACACTACTGACGAGCAAATTAAAAAAACAAGACAAGATAGTATATTCTTAATCATTTTTTTGTGAATTCAAATTTTATTGTATTTTTCTCTAATACAATTTTATTCTTAAAAATAGATTCAGCCACTAATTACAACAGTTATAACTAACTTCACACTACTATATATATCTCTCTCTATCTATCTACCGTTCTATTTGTTTATCTCTATCTCTTTCAACCGGTCGTCGTCCTCGTCGAACAAGTACTTGTTGTGCAATGTTTTGAATGTTTTGTTATTACGGTGGAGCGGTGGAGGGTGCTCTCTAGTGAGGGGTTGATTTGCCGCCCCCTTTGTCGAGCCCCACCTGTGTGTCTGCCGGGGAGCACCTGGATTTAAAACATGAAGTGATTGATTTTTGGAGACTTTAACTGACCTGTTGAAAATAAAATCGGGTTAAAGAAGGAACTCTACTGACGAGCAACTTGTAAATAAAATATTTAAAGAAAAGGGACTCTACTGACGAATAAAATAAAAATATGTGAACAAAATAAATACTATTATTATTATTTATTATTACATAAATAAGAAAAAAAGAACTCTACTGACTAGCTGTAAGGTAAATATCAAAAATACTAGTCAAAAACCAAAAAGACTCTACTGACGAGCTAAAAATATTTAAAAAACTATGCGACGAAAAGGGTCTCTACTGTCAAGCAAAATGAAATACATTATGGGTCCCTACAAAAAAGGACTCTACTGACGAGCAAACTGAAAACAAATAAAAGAACTTTCCTGTCTGGCAAATTGATATTTGTTTCATCAAAAATATTGGACATGAAAAAGGACTTGACTGACAAGCGAATATTTTTGATATTTCATATCAAAAACAAAATCGATCTGCGACTAAAAGGGACTCTACTGACGAGCAAACAAAAAATTTATATTCAAAAACAAAAAATAGAAAATTCAGTGTGCAGCAAGAAAGGGACTATACTGACAAGTAAAATGCAAATCATTATTAATCGAAACGAAAAAGGGACTGTACAAATTAAAATGAGATAAAATAGGACTCTATTGACGAGCAAACTGTATTTTATTCAATTTTTTTTTTGCCAGAGACAAAAAAGGACTCCACTGACGAGCAAAAAAGAAATTTTATATTCGAGCAAAGAAGGAACCCTACTGACTAGCAAACTGAAAACAAATAAAGAAACTCTACTGAAGAGCAAATAAAATTTTATATTTATAAAAAACAAAATATATGACAAAAAGGGACTATACTGACGTGCAACATTAAATACATGATTTATACGAAACAAAAAAGGACTCTACTACGAGCAAACTAAAATGCGATAGAAAAAGGACTCTACTGAGGAGCAAACTGGAATTTTAACTCAATCTGGTTAAAATATTGCCTGGAAAAAATATTTTTAATACATTCGAATTAGCGGCAAAAAGGGACTGTACTGACAAGCAAAATAAACATGACATCATATAAATAAATAAATAAAAATTTTCATTTTAAAGAGTAAATGTTTTAAAAATTAACAAATAAGTCCAACACTCTTATTATTTAAAAAAAAGATAATTAAAGATAATAAAGATTAAAAAAATAAAAGATAATCTTAAAAATTTATTCCTATATTTTTAACAATTATCTTACTTTTTACCTAAAAACGTATTTTTTAATATTTACTTTAATATTAAAAATAATACTATATGCTTACAAGATATTTCATCTATTATCTTTTATTATCTTAAGATAATTTTTTTCTCTAAAAATCTCCTTTCACTTGAACTCCATGAAAACGCTTCAAAGGAATCGATAAAAGGGGAAAACGCCCTAGAAATAGTACGATCACCGGTGTTTTTTTTTACTCAAATTAAAATAACTCGAAAATTAATTTAGTTAGATCAAAATTATCTTCTAAAGATTTTTAGATAACTAAATTATCTTTTATCTTATCTAAGATAATATACTTGTAGCATTATTATTAACGGGTTAATCGGACGTTGAAAGTAGGGTGTTGATTTGTGGTACTTTTTTAAGTATTTATTAGATAACATGTAAATTATATAATTTATCTTAAGACAATATTTAATAAATATTTAGATAACTAAATTATCTTTTATCTTCTCTAAGATAATATGCATGTAAAGTTAATTTTTATTGGACTAATGAGGCATTGAATATAGCTAAAATATATAAAGCTTATTTATTTGTGATAATTTTTTTTAGTATTTATTAAATAACTCTTGAATTATATAATTTATCTTAAAACTATCTTAGACATTTTTTTAGATAACTAAATTATCTTTTATCTTACTTAAGATTGTATGCTTGTGAAATTATTTTTTCTTGAACTAATGAGACATTGAACATATATAAAGGCTATTTTAATTTAAAACATATATAAAGCGTATTTATTTGTGATACCTTTTTTTAAATGTTTATTACGTAACTATTGAATTATCTAATTTATCTTGAGACAATCTTTGACAAATATTTAGATAACTGAATTATCTTTTATATTACTTAAGATTGTATTTTCGTAATTTTTTTTTTGTAACTACTAGGACATTGAATATAGTTAAAATATATACAGCGTATTTATTTGTGATATATTTTTCTAGTATTTTTCAAATTGTCTAATTTATCTTAAGATAATATTTAGCAAATATTTAGATAACTAAATTATCTTTTATCTTTCTTAAGATTTTATGCTTGTAAAGTTATTTTTTCTTGAACTAATGTGACATTCAATAGAGCTAAAATATATACAGCGTATTGATTTGTGATACATTTTTTTACTATTTATTAGATAACTCTTAAATTATCTAAATTATCTTAAAACAATCTTTGGCATGCTTTTAGATAATTGAAGTATCTTCAAACTTATCTAACATAGTATATACCTAAAATAAAATTTTGTTAATAAAAATTGCTTTTAAACATAGACAACCGACTATATCTGACGTAAATTTCAAGCTTGACGGTACAAATTTTTAGATAACTCTTAAATTATCTACGTTATCTTAAAACGATCTTAGACACTCTTTTAAATAATCAAATTATCTACATTTTTGTCTAATATTATATTCATGTCAAATAAACTTTCATTACTAAAAATTAAACCTAAATACGCAACAGACAGCAATCATGTACATTTTGTACAAAACTCGACGGTGCATTTATCTATATTTATACACATAACTTTTAAATTATCTAATTTATTTTAAAACAATCTTAGACAAATTTCAAGATAATAAAATTATGCACATTTTTCTCTAACATAGTATTTACGTCCAATAAACTTTCATTACTAAAAAACACCTTACAATTCATAATTACTACACCTCAAAATCTACGGTACACTTTCCTACATTTTCCCAGATAACTCCGAAATTATCTTAGTTATCTTAAAACAATCTTCAAACAAAATAAAGCCAACAGTCCACCCTATAAACTTCCCTAACATCATACAACCCTATATCAACTTTCCATACTTCAAAACACATCCCCATCTTATCTTTCCTCCTATCGATTTATTTCTCTCGGTAACAAGTTGCACAGGAAAGTTATTTCTGTTCTTAGAGCCCCCCCTGGAGCCCCTCGAAGCGCCCCTTCGCAAAAAATGTAATTCCCCACCACTGTTACCGATTACAGCCCCCATTTGGGGGTTTGGGGATGAAAATCGTAAGACAAGAGGGAAAAGAAAAGTGTTAAGTAAATCCTCTTTGAGAGGATGATATAAGGATTTATAAAGGACTACTTGTCGATAGGCTAAATTGTTTAAATCATGAAATTTTAATTATCGGTTGTATTAATTCAGTTTGCTCGTCAGTAGAGTCACTGTTTTGTAATTTTCTAGAACAAAATTAAACTTTGGTCGTTGGTAGAGTCCATTTTCTACCAAAATTTAAAAATGAAATGATGAAAATCGTGAGACAAGAGGGAAAAGAAGTGTTAAGTAAATCCTTTTTGAAGAAAGTACTTGATGGTATTATAAAGAGTACTTGCCGATAGGCTAAATTTGTTGAATAATAATTAATTAGCGAGAAATAATTGGGTAATTATATAATGAATTAGTTTGCTCGTCAGAAGAGTCCCTTTTCTACTTCAGTAGAGTTTTTTTTTTTAATTTTAAAGTACTTTTACTTGTTTTGATAATAAAATCTTTAAAATTAATATAAGTTTATGTTTTAATGTGTCAAGGTGACCTTTAGAACTTTCGTATATGGATCTAGCGTGAAGTGCGTTGAACATTTTGTTTAAGAGTTTGAAGTTAAGTCTAGGGTGTGAGGTCGATGCGTGTGATTCGGACGTGCATGCTAGACTTTTTAGGGTTGAAATTTTTAGTTTTATTTGTATTGAAATTTTAAAGTTTTAAAATAATAATTGTAAATATATTTCTGAAAATTGCGATTGGTTCTCTTTTTAATTTTAATTCAATTTAGAGTTAAGTTTTTTTTAGCATTTGTGAGAGATATTAGAGAAAAATGTAAATAATTCATTTATCTAAGATAAAATTATAATAGCTGACATATTAATAGTTATATAGGTGAAGGACTCTCTCACTTTGCAGAATTCTAAATATTCTGAATATATTTGCTCTAAAGGATTCCAGAACATGTCGTATACGCTTTGTGAATAATAATAAAGGATTATTATATATATATATATATATATATATATATATATATATATTTACATATTTTGGTACATTTATCTATACTTTTACAGAAAACTCTTAAACTCTCTTAGTTATCTAAAAACAATCTTCTGACAATTTTTAGATAATTATGTTATCTAAATTTTCTCTAATAGTGTCTAAAATTATCACAAATATATTATATATTAAATAGTACAGTAGGTCCAAAATGAGTCAAAAAGTTTTACTTCAATATAGGTTTGTTGGGTATCAAATGAAAGGTCTCGACATTTAGCACAAATTCATCGAATAAACTAATCACTTTGCATAAACGTTTCGAAAGTTACAAGAGTTATAATAAGTGCTGACCAATGGGTTGCGGAACTCGCAGTCCTGTATAAGTAAAAATATTTTACTTCAAATATAGGCATGTGGGGTATCAAATAATAGGTCTCGACGGTCTCTATCCAATATCATAGTAACAAACTCAACGTACGTCACAATGTCTATTTTGGCAATAATAAAATATTGCAATTTGACGAAAGGTGAAATTATATTAAAAATGATTATAGATCTTTAAATTTAGAACAAATTTGTCGAATAAACTATTTACTTTAGACAAACGGTTCAAAAGTTACACGCGATGGAATAAAAAGTCGACCAATGGGTTGCGACCAATCGGTCAAAAATTTTCGGCGTCAAATATAGGTATGTGGGGTATCAAATAAAAGGTCTTGACGAGCACTATCCAAAAATCATAACAACAGCCTCAAAAAGTCAATAGGGTTCCGTATCAATTATTTTTTCAATTTTCAGCATCATTTTTTGTCATTTAAAGTATGCCCAGTTGCTATAGAGTCTTACTGTGTTAGAACAAATTATAAATAGTGTAATTTAAAACAAATTCACCGAATAAACCATTTACTTTAGACGTACCGTTCAAAAGTTACAAGAGATTGAACAAAGAGACGACCAATGGGTTGCAGAACTCTAGACGCAACATAACTCAAAAAGTTTTACTTCAAATATAGGCATGTGGGGTATCAAATGAAAGGTCTCAACGAGCTCTATCCAACTAACATATCCTCAACCATAACCTCAAAATTACTCAATTCCTAACACGTTTTTCGTAATAAATTCCCACACACAATGCATATTAACACTTAAGAATTTAATCTCATTTTAATACCCCCAACATCTATTGTATCTAGTGTGAATTTACGACTAAGACGAGAAATTCCGTTAAACTGCGAACAATAAGGGATGAAAGGCTTCGAAAGCGGATATGTGGCTATAAAACGGATATAGGAACGACGTGTATGTTTATGCGCGATTTTAGACTTAAGGAGTTGTTGAAGTGGTTATGGTGTTAGGGGATGTTTTTGGTAATTTTATTGGCTGTAAATTGCTTGAAGATAGTTTTAAGATAACTTGGATGTTTCAAAAGTTATCTGAATAAATATAGATAAATGCACCGCAGGATATTGTATAAAATGTACATGATATATGCCTATTGCGTACATAACTAGTTTTAAGTGCAAGTTTTAGTAATGAAAGTTTATTTGACATAAATACAACATTTGACAAAAATGTAGCTAATTTAGTTATCTTTAAATTTGTTGAAGATCGTTTTAAGATAACTTAGATATTTCAAGAGTTATCTGAATAAATATAGTTTTTTTTTTTTTTTTGTACCGCAGGATTTTGTATAAAATGTACATGATAGATATCTATTGCGTACATGTCTATTTTTAAGCGCATTTTTTAGTAATGAAAGTTTATTTTACATAAATATAATATTAGACAAAAATGTAGATAATTTGTCTATAAATTTGCTTAAGATAGTTCTAAGACAGCAAAGATAGTTTTGGAGTTATCTCTAAAAATATATATAAATGTACCTTATAAATTGCATTAGGGCTTTAGTTGTTTCAACGCTTGTAACTTCTAAACCATTCGATTGATATGAATGATGTGTATGAGAAATTTGTTCATAATTCAATACTCTACAATATTGTCTTTTACACCAATGCCCTACAGCAACTCGGTATACTCTTAAATCTAAATTGATAAAAGCCATAATGCATTTCAATGAATGCTCCATATTTCGGATTTAATTTTCTATCTTTAGTTGCTATTTTAAAGCATACCGAGTTGCTGTAGAGCAATATGGTGTTAGACAATATTGTGCACAATTTAATTCTGCACAAATATCTCATACACATCATTCATATCAATCGAAAGGTTTAGAAGTTACATGCATTAAAACAAAAAAAGTGCACTCGGTATACTGCCCTCCAATGCAAGAAGTCAACGTTTGTATGGAAACTAGTGTAGTTTGGTAGTTTGGATTATTGAAGCGCTTCAATTGCTATTTTAAAGTATAAGGGGTTGCTGTAGAGCATTATGGTAAAAGACAATATTGTACATTGTTAAATTTTGAACAAATTTGCCGAATATTTCATTCAGTTTGGACAAACCGTTCAAAAGTTACAAGAGTTTCTATAAATAAATGCACCCAAACGAGTTATCGTACTATAAATAGTACAGCGGGTCAAATGCGAGTTAAGAAGTTTTACTTCAAATATAGGCATGTTGGGTATCAAATGAAAGGTCTTGACGAGTACTAACCAAATGTATCAGTGACGTCCAAAACATACCCATAGGCTTCTGTATAACCTCATATATCCATTATTCAAAACTAATTTTGTGGTTTCTATTGCAATTTTAAAATATACCGAGTTGATATAAGGACTGCTATTAAGTACAGTTATAGACAATTTAATTTAAAATAAATTTGTCGAATATTTCATTTAATTTGGACGAACCATTCAAAAGTTACAAGAGTTTCAATAAATAAATGCACACAAACGAGTTGTCATACTATAAATAGTACAGCGGGTCAAATGCGAGTTAAAAAGTTTTACTTCAAATATAGGCATGTTGGGTATCAAATGAAAGGTCTCAACGAGCACTATCCAAATATCTAAACAGCAAACTCGACAAACCAATAGGGTTCCGTACACCTAATTTATTTACTTACTAATACAAATTTTTGGCATTTTAAAATACACCAAGTGGCTGTAGCGTCAAACTATACTAGACAATATTATAAACCATGCAATTTAGCACAAATTTTCCGAATAAACCACGTACTTCAGACAAACCGTTCGAAAGTTACAAGCAATGTAACAAAAGCCGACCAATGGGTTGCGAAACTCAAATTCCAACATACCTCAAAACGTTTTACTTCAAACATAGGCATGTGGGGTATCAAATGAAAGGTCTCGACGAGCACTATCTAAATATCATACTTACAAACACAACAAGGCCATAGGATACCATACACACTTATTCAGTAAATATTTTCTTATGTTTGCAAATTTAAAGTATACTAACTTATTGTAAAGTTTCTACACTGGACACTATTATAAATTGTGTAATTCAGCATAAATTTGCTGAATGTTTCATTCAAATCGGACAAACCGTTTAGAAGTTACAAAAGATGTAACAGAAGCCGACCAATGGGTTGCCGAACACAAAATTAGACATAAGTCAGAAAGTTTTACTTCAAATATAGGCATGTGGGGCATCAAATGAAAGGTCTCGACGAGCCCTATCCAAAAATCCAATTTAATTTATATTTTATCTATTATTTTTCTAGTATCCGCCCTGAGATCGCACTGGGACGACGCAAACGGCGCCGTCCTCCAGCGCAAAGCCCAGCTGGACGCCATGTTGGCTGACAGTGCCAGATACGACACCGCCCGAAGAGAGTGCGAATCTTGGCTAGAAAGAAACGAGAGACGTTTGAGTTGCGTGGCGCCGCCGGCAGATACCGCTGATGTCCTGGAAATGCAACAGAGGGAACAGAAGGTAAGTTGATGAGTTAGTTAGTGGTAAGAACTCGTTAGTGATAAGTGGCGGTTTTGGAGGACAAATAGTATGTTTAGTGATGGGTAGTGTTAGACAATATTGTAGCTGGTGGTTTAAGCTTGAAATTTGCTGAATATTGTTTTTGGTTAGCGTGGCTAGTTTTGAGGTTATGGCTGACAGAGTGGGCACGTGTCTTAGTGCAAGTGCTTGCAAAAGGTGAGTTGGGGGATAGAAAATTTGGTTTTTGGAAGCATAGTTGTTAAAAATGTCCTTGTGAGGTATTAGGGGAATTTGTAGCTAATACCTTAAGCTACAAATTAGCTAAAGACAGTTTTGAGCTAGCATAGCTAGTTTAGAGGTTATCAGAGAAAATGTCAAAGTGTGTCCCTTTGCGTGTACTAGTAAGATGTTATTAAGGGCACACATAATTTGATTTTTGCAAGCATAGTTATTAAGGATGATCTTGTGAGGTATTGGAGAAATTTGTAGCTAGTTTTTTGAGCTACAAATTAGTTTAAGCCAGTTTTTGGTTAGCTCATGTAGTTTAGAGGTTATGATAGAAAATGTCAAAATGTATCCGAAGGCTTGTACTAGTACAATTTATATTAGAGCACACAAAATTTGTTTTTTCGAAGGATAGTTGTTAAGAATGTCTTTGTGAGGTATTAGGCAAATTTGTAGCTATTTCCTTAAGCTATAAATTAGCTAAAGAAAGATCCTAATTATTATAGCTAATTTAGAGGTTATGGTAAAAAATATCAAAATGTGTTCTAGGGCACATAAAATTTGGTTTTTGGAAGCATAGTTGTTAACAATGTCTTTGTGAGGTATTACAGGAATTTGTAGCTAGCTTTTTAAGCTCTAAATTAGCTGAAAATAGTTTTTAGTTAGCATAGTTAGTTTGGAAGTTATGGTAAAAAATGTAAAAAAATGTCCTGGGGCTTGTACTAGTAAAATATGTTTTGGTGCACACAAAATTTGGTTTTTCGAGGCTTAAGTATTAAGGATGTCTATGTTTGGTGTTTGGAAAATTTGTAGCTAGTTTCTTTAGATACAAATTAGCTAAAGATAGTTTTTAGCTAGCATACCCAGTTTAGAGGTTATGTTAAAAAATGTAAAAATGGGTCCTTAAGCTTGTACTAGAACAATTTATATTAGAGCACACAAAATATGGTTTTTCAAAGGACATTTATTAAGAATGTCTCTGTGCAGTGTTAGGAAAATTTATAGCTAGTTTCTTAAGCTATAAATTAGCTAAAAACAGTTTTACGTTAGCATAGTTACTTTTGAGGTTATGTTAAAAAACGTCAAAATGTGTCCTAGGGCTTGTGCTAGTAAAATGCATGTTGGAGCACACAAAATTTGGTTTTTCGAGGCTTAAGTGTTAAGGATGTCTTTGTAAGGTATTAGTGAAATTTGTAGCTAATTTCTTAAGCTACAAATTAGCTAAAGATAGTTCTGAGCTAGCATAATTAGTTTGGAAGTTATAGCCCAGAAAGTAAGCAAATGTCTTGATACTTTTAGTGACGAAAGTTCAGTGGGTGCACTGAAAATTGGGGTTTTGTGAGATAATTATTACAAATTTTGGGAGATAGTTTTAGCAAATGTTATAGCTAGCTACGAATTAGCTAAAGATAGTTTTTAGTTAGCTTAATTAGTTTGGAAGCTATAGCTAAAACAGTAAACACAATTCCAAATGCTAGTACCAGCAAAAAGTTAATGAGGATAGTAAAAATATAAATTTTGCAAGAAATCTGTTAAAAATGTCTTAGTATAGTATTAGATAGTATATCTTAAATAGCTGAAGACAGTATTTAGCTAACACAATTAGTTTAAAAGTTACAGCTATAAAAGTAAACACAAATCCAAATGTTGTTCTGCTAAAAAGTTTTTAAGGGCTGTACTAAATTAGATTTACCAAGACAACTGTAAAAGATATTTTAGTATAGTATTAGAAAAACTTACATCTAATTCTTTAAGCTACAAATTAACTAAATAATGCTTTCAGTTATCATAATTAGATTAGAAGTTATAGCTAAAAAACTAAACACAAGTCCCAAATACAAGTACTAACAAAGTTAATCAGGTCTTTAAGAATTTGGTTTTTGCAAGATAACTGTTAAAGATATATCAGTACAATGTTAGATACATTTTTAGCTAATTTTTTAAGCTACAAATTAGCTGAAGATAGTTTTTAGTTAGTTTAATTAGTTTACCAGTTATAGCTAAAAAACTAAACACAAGTCTACTGCCAGTACTAGCAAAAAGTTAATGAGTGCATCAAGACTCCACATTTTGCAAGATAACTATTAAAGATATCTTAGTGCAATATTAGACAAACTTTTTGCTAGTATTTTAAGCTACAAATTAGTTTAAAACTGTTTTTAGTTTTTACTAGTATTTTAGAAAATATAGCACACAAACCCTAAAAATGCAACTACTTTATATAATTTGAGTTGAAGCTTTGATAATTTTCAATTGCTATATTATTAATACTTTGCTATATTATTTATATCAATTAATATTAATTGTATAAAATGAAGGTGGTTTATTAAGCTACAAATTAGCTAAACACACTTTACAGTTTGCATAAATAGTTTAGAAAATATAAAACAAAAACTATAAAAAAGTATCTTTACATACTATTTGGTTAGCAAGATTCAATCAAAAATTATTTATAAAACTTACAAAAATGTATACTAAAACTAAATAGACACACCTTATAGTTTGCATAAATACTTTACTAGATATAAAACTAAAACTACAAAAATGTCTTCATCATATATATTTTTTTGGCATTTTAAATGCATTTTTATTTAAAAAAATGTGTGTAAAACTTACAAAAATGTGTGTAAAACTTACAAGAATGCGTGTAAAACTTACAAAAATGTTAGCTCAAATTTACGAGATTTTAATTAGCTATATATTAGCTAAACATACTTAATACCTATCACAAAATTTTAAAAGTTGTTAAAAAAAACTATAAATTTGCTGCAAAATTTCTGAAGTTCAAGTGTGAAACACGCTTTACAACCCTAAAGCTTCCACCACACTCAACAGGCGCCATATAAAACCCCAAACAACGTTCATAAGCAAAAGCGCAAGTGTGGCTATTGCTTTAGGCTAAAGCGTGCTTCACACTGTGCAATTAAAATTTAATTTAGTTAGTAGATTTTTGAAAGCGTTTTTAAACCTCAATTTGTTCTAACACATATATACTTATATACATCAAATCGAAGGTAATTTTATCTCCAACAAACTGGCTAAACACAATTTTTATTCGCACCAATATTTTGGGAGTTATTTACAAAAATTTGATTTTTTTTTGTCTTTTTCCAGTCATCTTCACACTGTATAATTAAAATCAAAATTTAAAAGGTAGATTTTTGAAAGCCTTTTTAAACCACAATTTGTTCCAACACATATATACTTATATACATAAAATCAAAGCTAATTTTAAGCCCAAAAAACTGGCTAAACCCAATACCTATTTACACTAATATTTCACAAAATATTTGCAAAAATTTGATTTTTTTTTGTCTTTTTCCAGTCATATCATGCAGAGTTACATCAATACAAACATCAAATCGAACTCTTCAATCAGTTGACACAGAAATTAATAGCCGTTTATCAGCACGATGACACTTCACGTATAAAAAAGATGACAGAATGTGTCAATCAACGTTATGCTAATTTGACACAAGCAGTGGTGGCCAGAGGAAGGGTCCTCAATGCTGCAATTAACTCTTTACATAACTTCGACAGGTGAGTGATAATTGAGTCATAAATTGAGTTGGAAAATGTCAAAATGTTGTAAAATTTTATTAAGAGCACACATAATTTGGTTTTTGGAGGCTTAAGTGTTAAGGATGCCCTTGTGAGGTATTAAGAAAATTTGTAGCTAGTTTCTTAAGCTACAAATTAGCTGAATATAGTTCTTAGTTATCACTTCTAGTTCAAAAGTTACGGCAAAAATAATAAATGCCTGTCAAAGTTCTGGTACTACTAAAAATTTATTGGAGGGACTGAAAAAGTGAATTTTCAAGTAAATTATTTAAGATATCCAAATACAGTGTTAGATGAAGTTCAAAGCAATACTACAAACTATAATTTTGCTAAAGACTGTTTTTAGTTAGATCAATTAGTTTAAAAGTTATAGCTAAAAAACTAATGATATGTCTATGTAGTAGTACTACCAAAATATAAGTGGAAGGCTCGAGAATTTTGTTTTTGCCAAATAACTATTGAAGTCATCTTAATATAGTATGAGACAAACTTATAGCTAGTGCTTTAAGCTACAAATTAGCTAAAGACTGTTTTTAGTTAGCTTAATTAGTTTAGAAGTAATAGCACAAAAAGTAAGAAAACGTCTTGTTATTAGCACTAACAAAAAATTAGTAGGCGGACTGAAAGTTTGCATTTTGTGGCATAACTATTACAAATTCTGCAAAATAGTTTTAGACAAAGTTATAGCTAGTTTTTGTAGCTATAATTTAGCTATAGGCTGCTTTTAGCTTAATTAGTTTATAAGTTATAGCACAAAAAGTAAGATAACGTCTTGTTATTAGCACTAACAAAAGATTAGTAGGCGGACTGAAAATTTGGGTTTTGTAGCATAACTATTACAAATTCTGCAAAATAGTTTTAGACAAAGTTATAGCTAGTTTTTGTAGCTATAATTTAGCTATAGGCTGCTTTTATCTTAATTAGTTTAGAAGTTATAGCACAAAAAGTAAGAAAACGTCTTGTTATTAGCACTAACAAAAGATTAGTAGGCGGACTGAAAATTTGGGTTTTGTGGCATAACTATTACAAATTCTGCAAAATAGTTTTAGACAAAGTTATAGCTAGTTTTTGTAGCTATATATTAGCTATAGACTGCTTTTAGCTAGCTCAATTAGTTAAGAAGTTACAGCTATAAAAATAAACACAAGTTCTAGTGCTGGAACTATCAAAATTTCAAAGAGCATATTGAAAATCTAGATTTTACTAGATAAGTATTCGAGTTATCTTAGTATAGTCTAAGACAGAATCATAGCTAGTTTCTCAAGCTATAAATTAATAAAATATAGTTTTTAGTTAGTAGTTTTAGTTTGGAAGTTATAGCTATAAAGGTAAACATAAGCTCTAGTGCTGGTACTAATAAAAAATTCATGTGTGTTCTAAGAATTTCAAACTATTTACTTCAACATATATACATTATTATATATCATTAGAAAGCTAATTAAATTATCTACAAAACTGTATATAACGATTTAAAAGTCTTAGAACAAATTTGTCTAGAAAAAATGGTTAAACTTTGCACAACTTGATTTTTCTATATTTTCTTAAATAATATGAAAACTCTTTGTATATATATATATATATATATATATTTATATTAATTTTTTTTATCTAGATCTCTGGAAAAGTTCTTAGCATGGTTATCGGAGGCTGAAAGTTGTATGGAGGCAATTGAATCGGAGACTGATAGGACTCCCGCTGGAACAAACAGTAGGCAAAGGGACATGAGGATGCCCCAGCATCAGTTAAAGGTCAGTTTTATATTTAATTTATATATATATATATATATATATATATATATAAATAAATTATAATTATTATATATATATAATAGATTCAACCTTATTTTATACTACGCCCATCTGTTGGAGCGTCGATCCAACAGTTCTTATCCAAGATTCAAACCAACTTGCACAAGGGTGCACCAATGCTTGTTTAAAGAAATTGATTTTGTATTATACATATTTAGTTTGTTATAACTTTTAAAATATAAAGAATTAATAATTAGTGTGTTGGGATAAAATAAAGTTGAAGTATTTGTTTATACAAATATCTAAAAAAAATTCGAGGTGTCTAACATATTTTGCAAAATTTTGGCAAAAATCCTAAAATGTGTACCGACAAATCATTGGTACTAGAACTAGAACATAGTTTTACGTTTTCTACCATAACTTCCTTTATATTTTAAATATTAATTTTATTATATCTTTTGAAATATAAACAATTTTGAATTTGTGTGTTGGGATAAAATAAAGATGAAGTATTTGTTTATACAAATATCTAAAAATATTAGAGACATCTTGCATATTTTGCAAAATTTTGGCAAAAATCTAAAGAAGTGTACCTACAAATCAACGATATTAAAACTAGAGTATTGTTTTACGTTTTTCAATATAACTTCTAAACTAGCTATGCTAGCTAAGAACTGTCTTTAGCCAATTTGTAGCTTAAGAAACTAGCTACAAATTTTCTTAACACCTCATAGAGTCATCCTTAATAACTGTACGTCGAAAAACCAAATTTTGTGTGCTCTAATATAAATTGTACTAGTACAAGCACAAGAACACATTTTTACATTTTCAACCATAACCTCTAAACTAGCTATGCTAGCTAAGAACTATCTTTAGCTAATTTGTAGCTTAAAGAATTAGCTACAATTATGCCTAACACTATACTGAAATATCTGTTATAGTTATCTTGGTAAATCTAATTTTGTACAGCCCGTGAAAACTTTCTACCAGTACATCACTAGGACTTGTGTTTAATATTTTAGCTATAACATCCAAAATAATAATGCTAACTAAAAGCAGTCTATAGCTAATGTGTAGCCTAAAAAACTAGCTACAAATTTATCTAATATTTTACTAAGATATCTTTAATAGTTATCTTGCAAAATGGAGATTCTTAGTGCACACAAGTTTTTGGCTAGTACAGGCACTCAGACTTGTGTTTACTTTTTTTGCTATAACTTTTAAACTAATTGTGTTAACTAAAAACTAGATTCAGCTAATTTGTAGCTAAGAGAACTAGCTATAACTTTGTCTAAAACTATTTTGCAAAATTTGTAGTATTTATCTTACAAAACCCCAATTTTCAGTGCACCCACTAAACTTTCATCACTACAAGTATCAAGTCATTTGCTTACTTTCTGTGCTATAACTTCAAAACTAATTATGCTAACTAAGAACAATCTTTAGCTAATTTGTAGCTAAGAGAAGTAGCTATAACTCTGTCTAAAACAATTTTGCAAAATTTGTAATATTTATTGTACAAAACCCCAATTTTCAGTGCACCTACTAAACTTTTGGTAGTGCTAGTATCAAGACATTTTCTTACTTTCTGTGCTATAACTTCCAAACTAATTATGCTAACTAAGAACTATCTTTAGCTAATTTGTAGCTCAAAAAACTAGCTACAAGGTGTTTTCATACAACGCTAAGTCGACTTTAATAATTATCTGGTAAATGCAAAATTCTCAAGCCATTCACGTATATTTTGGTAGTACTAATACTTAGACATTTCTACAGTTTTATAGCTGTAACTTTGAAACTAAATAAGCTAACCAAGAGCAACCTTCAGCAAAATTATAGTTTATAGTATTGTCTTTAACTTCATCTAACACTGTATTTGGATGTGTTAGATAATTTATTTGCAAATTCACTTTTTCAGTCCTTTCGCTAAATTTTTGTCAGTACCAGAATTATGACACACATTTATTGTTTTTCCTGTAACTTTTAAATTAGCTATGCTAGCTGAGAACTGTCTTTAGCCAATTTGTAGCTTAAGAAACTAGCTACAAATTTTCTTAACACCTCACAAGTGCATTCTTAATAACTTTGTTTCGAAAAACCAAATTTTGTGTGCTCTAATATAAATTGTACTAGTACAAGCACTAGAACTCAAGTTAATACAAGTTGTGCACTTGGGTTTGTATAAATGCTAAAGGGAGGGTTTACAGTGCACCACTAGATGGAACGTGTAGTAAATGCATAGAACTTGTTAAAAATTTAATTTTAATTTAGTTTTTTTGATGTTTCAAGTCGTTCTGAATCGTATGACACGTTGTAAATAAAATAACTTATAGACATTTAATTAATTAATTCATTTAATTTGTGTGATTATTATATGAGATGTTTCTGAGACATAAACTCAAGTAAAATTTATTTCAAGTTTCAAATCGTTCTGAATCGTATGACACGATATAAATAAAATAACTTATAGACATTTAATTAGTTTATTAATTTAATTTGTGTGATTATTGTATGAGATGTTTCTGAGACATAAACTAAAGTAAAATTGATTAAATCGTGTTCTGAAAATCTAGTAGTTATTTCCTTGGTAATACAATCACAATTTTATACATTCCGTTTCCTCGTCAGACTTTTTTTATATAACTTTTGTAATATTATATTTTTATTTATAAAACTTTCACAGTTTTATATTTATATTTATGATTATTTACAATCTTCAATGATTTTTTAAATTCACAAATCTCTTTTTACTTCACCACATTATATTTTGTATATTTGTACAGTATCTCATATCCTGTGTGGTGTGTGTTTGTAATAAATTTCTAAATATTTGCATTTCTACGCGGCGTCTCCACCGCATTGAAATTTCGTATGCGGTTGTTGTGTTTGTTTTGAGATGATTGATTGCAAAGTAAACCTTTGGAGAAAACTTTATACATACATATATATATATATATATATATATATATAAAAAATTTTTGTTCCAAACTTCAAAAATTCTTATATATATATATATATATATATATATATATAAGGATTTTTGAAGTTTGGAACAAAAATTTTGCAAAAAATAATCTTAAAATTGACTGGTTAATTTATGATATTAGTTGCAACGAGTGTAAATTTTTATTTGCACGTGCATTTTGTTCTAGATATTTTAAATATAACAATAGTGTTATATGCTGTTAGCAAGCTAATAAAATTATCTACAAATCTGTATATAACGTTTCAAAACTTTACGAACAAATTTTTTTTAGAAAAATCATTGAAATTCAAACTTCAGTATATACTTATCAGCCTTTTGTGGACTTTATAGGTCACATTTTTCTACATTTACGTTTATATTGCTAAAATTTGTTCTACAATAAATATATTGTTATATATCGTTAGAAAGCTAATAAAATTATCTACAATTCTGTATATAGCAATTTAGTACGTTTGGCACAAAATTATTCACAAAAAAATTCAAACTTTGGTATCAAAATTAAGTGTCGTTTTATATTAGTAGTTTTGTTGGTTAAATATCAGTTTATTCTAAGATAGACCTAAAGCTCAATGAAACATTTTGGTACAATTTTGGAGATAACTCTTAAAAAGGTAACAAAATTATCTACATTTTTATCTAATACAGTTTATATACATGTAGAACAATTTATCTAAGAAAATCGCGTTTGAATATTATTTTATACTGAAACATACTACAAGCGCAACGGAACATTTTGGTGCAATTTTGGCCATAACGCCAAAATTATCTAAGTTATCTAAAAATAATTTTCAGGAAGATTAAAGATAATCAAATTATCTACAAATTCCTCTAACACAATATACCCCTATCTCTCACCATTAACCCAAAAATCATTTTCAAAAATACCAAAATATTCTTTACCATCACACCTGTCTCCTACAGCTTTATAGCTTTTATAGCTTTTACAGCTATAAATTCTTGTGCAAAGTATTATTAACGAGCTTTCAGAACTCGCTAATTTTCTATGGAAATGTTTTAATAAGTCGACGTTAGTCAGAATTTATTTTTTGCTATTTTTTCTGTTTTAATTCAGCTTTTTATAAAATCTCTTTACTTATAATAATATATAATAGTATTTTTTTATTAAATCTTAAATTATTTATTTTATCTTAAAACAGTATTAGACGCGGTAAAAGATAATTAAATTATCTTTAATTTTGTCTTATATGATGTCAACGTAAAATTAATTTTTAATATTAAAATTAATAAATTTAATCTTATAATAAATAAAAATTGGAGCTAAAGTGTATTATTGAGCATATCGACTTTTTTTTAGTATGAAACGATATTCAAACGCGTTTTCCTTAGGTAAATGGTTCTACAAGTATATAAACAATATTAGATAGAAATATAGATAATTTAATTATCTTTAATCTTGCCAAAGATGGTTTTTAGATATAATTTGCGAGTTATATGCTAAAATATGAAAAGTATCACGTCGAACGTTACATAAGTATTATTTAATGTCAGTATTTAAACGCATTTTTGTGGTTAAAAAATAACGTTACCCACATAATATCTTAGACAAAAATATAGATATTTCAATTATCTTTATTTTGGCTAAAGATACCTTTGTGCTATATAAGATACTTTTAAAGTTATGTACCAAAAAGTGACGAAAATGTACCACCTCTTACAAATGTATTTAAACACGATTATTAACATACTTATTTTCAACCACAATATAGTGGTTAATAAATAATTACCCACATATTATCTTAGCAAAAAACGTTGATAATTCATTTATCTTTGATTTTGTCTTAAATTGTTTTTAAATAAAATAAATAATTTACAAGTTATAGATACAAATAGTGACAAATCGTCAATTTCGACTTTCAACTACAATGAGAAGAAAAATTATCAAGTTATTTTGATATCAAAGTTTGAAAAATTTTGTACAAAATTTTGTTTGAAACGAGCTAAATTGTTATATTATAGACTTGTAGATATATTGTATATCATAGACTTGTTATAT